ATGTTCAGGATGTGGGAAGCCTCCTGCGAGAGCATCACACTAAAATGATTCAGAGTTAAAATATCGGAAGCTTCATGTACAGATTTCATGTTTCTGCTTCTCAGCTTTGTGGTGAGGAAGGGAAGGAGAAAGGAAGAAATCCTGCCTGTAAGAGGTTGCTCTGTTACTGTTTTTTCGATACAGACATTCATTTTAAAAAGTTATCTAAACTGTATGTAGTCAAGGACAAATGCAAATAAATTACTGACAGAGCAATTAATCTTTTCAAAGACTGATGCTCGCAGGGTAGCTTAGGGGGCACAATTGCACTAGGAAGAGCTTTTCAAACAAATGTAACCATTCTTGTAATATGAGTGGCAGTTGACTGCAAGATAATTTCAGAGGTCTGCTTTTCTTTTAATGTAATCTTGATTATTTATCTAAAGTGGGTTTTTTTTCTGCATTTCCCTCCAATCTTTTAAAAAAGTTTAATTACTAAGTAGTATGCACAAGAATATAGTTGAGATAAGCAAGGAGACTTCCTTATTATTAGCTAACTTCAATAATGGGCTAAATATATTTTAGCTGTGTCACAGGCTTATTCCAAGGATCATCTAGATAACAGCAGCAGTTTGTGCCGGTAAATGTTTGTGTTGGTGAAATGTTAGCATGGTCTAAATAACTTTAAAAGAGTAAAAATCCTTAAAGTTTATCATTATATGAACTTATTCTCATGAACTTTTTCTCATTTCCACTTAGGAGCACCTGCTTCAGTGTCAAAATGATCTTCCATGATCACGTACATATAGAAAGGGAACGTTGAGTAAGATTAGCAACGTAAACCTCTGCTGCTTCATGAGTTTTACTAAGATGCTTGGTGATTTCACGGCTGTTTCAGCAGTTGATAATTCCCATCGCTCTGCTTTCTGCAGAGTTGTCACACTGCTCTGCTGCGGGTTCTGCCTTGTCCCTATGTGAGTTATGAGTTGTTTTAGATAACAGAAATGAAGAATAGTAAATATAATGGAATCGGGTTTATTACAGTGAGTTCTTGGACTCAGTTTGTCTTTTTTTTTTTTTTTAGAGAGTTTTGGGGATTATATTACTTACATTTTTGTTATAGCAGAATAGATTTAAAGGTTTTTTTTTAGTGGAAAGCATGTTGTCACTGTCGGTTTACAGCTAGGGAAAACCAGGGCACAGGGAGTTGAAGTTTTTTGCTCAAAGAAACTGGAGACATAGAAGAGACTAACCCCTGAGTATTCTGAGTCATGATTTGGTTCTTTGATTCACACAGGTAAAGGGAGCAATAGAAAAAAAGTTGAGTGAGATGTTTAGCTACAGAAATTCATGTGCATTACCTTTCCTGCCTAGCTCTTCTTGGGGGAGTTGCCTGGGTTGTGACACTCATCATGGAGACATCATATCATCAAAGGAAAATGTTACATGGGGCCAGAAGTGGGTGGCTATCGCCAAGAAAAGAGGCAGAAAGCACAAGAAGAGCCAGAGGGAGAACATCTCCTGCTTCAGTTAGGTTAGGAGCAGGAGTCAGCATACAACAGGAGCTTTTCCATGCAGGAGTTTTGTTCTTAAGAAGCTGATAAATATCCAACAACTTTTCTTGTAGGAAACTTCTGAATATTGTCACCTCCAATTCATCATTCAGCAACATCTGACTTTCAAAGCCTGGAGCGGCTCTTACTGCTACGTGACTCTGCCTTGAATTGACACAGGAGACATCTTAAGCAGTCTTCCTCTGCCTACTGAGCCAAGGGATTTGTTACGATGGATTTCTTAAGGACCTGGTAAGTGTGCACGCTGATGGATTTCGGCTTTTCAGTAAATCCCAACTTACACTTATGAGTGGGTAAAACATTCCTCTCCCCTTTATCCAGTGTTAGCCACAGAAACACATTCTTCCTCCCAGTCAAAGTAGCTCCTTAAAGACAGTACTTCTAGCGTGATTAGTGAGAGGATGCTGGTGTTGCCGGGTATCTTTGCCTAAATTTTTTACCCTGAAACTTGAACCAAGTCACCTGTTGGCGTAACTCAGAAGTGACTTTGCTGGCCGTGAGGATCTAGTGCCCTGTTTTCTAGGGCTGAGTACCTTTACGCACACTTTGAATAGGTTCTGTTATTTATTTAACTTATGGTGTTTCAACAGAGGTTTGTTTATTTGTTTTATGTGAATGCCTGTCTACTTACATCCTATTACAGGCAAGAACTGTGGTCCTCAGAAGTCAACAGGTATTTTGCCATTGACTTAATTTTATTAGTTTAGGAGGTGGTTTTTTTTTTTTAAATTCACATTAGTTTTGACTGTATAAATATATCTTCTTTCTTCATAAATATCTGTACAAGATGTCTAGGAGATTTAATGCTCATTGGGGATGTATCTGAAACAAGGACTCTAGAGACAGGAGTAAATATACTTGGATTGAATGTTAAAGCTTTTCAGAATAATCATGTTTATTATGAGCCCAATCCAAAGCCTTTTCAAGTTGTTTGGAAGTTTCCCTATTTCTATGACTATTAGAAGGAGTGTTTGGACTTCTGAATAGTTATTACAATGTATTTGGAACTAAGAGAACTTTTATATAGAAAATTGTTTCTTTTTTTCCTCCCTCAAATTTAATAATAAAATATTGAACAAATTGAATTTGACTAATGGTGAGATCACAAAAAGGTGACATTTGGGGACCACATCCTCCCGCTATGCTGAACTGCTGTAACGTTTTATGGATAAGTACTGCAGCAACATAGCCATTATTGAAAATGCAGGACTTGGGCTCAGATCCATGTAAGGACAGATCAATGGTGCTCTAGAGCAACCCTGTGGCTTTTTGGGGCTCTTTCAAATGATGTGAAAGGTACTTAATCATGCATTAGAATTTGAAGGACAAAGTAACAGAGCCTAGGAGAACCTAGGATATCAAAGCTGTCAGGACAGATATATTTGCTTTGTCTGATAAGCACTGATCAGACCCCTGCCTGCCCTTGGAGATACCAAGTGCCTTCATAAAACCACATAGAATCACAGAATAGTTGTGGTTGGAAGGGACCTCTGGAGGTCATCTGGTCCACCTCCCATCCTGCTCAAGCAGGGTCGCCTAAAGACATCTGCCAAGGACTGTCTAGATGGCTTTTGAATATCTCCAAGGATAGAGACTCGAAAACCTCTCCAGGAAACCTGTTCCAGTGCTCAGTAAAAAAGTGTTTCCTGATGTTCAAATAGAACCTCCCGTGTTTTGGTTTGTGCCTGTTGCCTCTTGTGTTGTCAGTGTATGTGCTCAGCGTGCGCTCGGTTGTGTTGTGCTCGGTGCTGTTATCAGGGAGGGAAAGGCTACTCTGTCGTGTAGCTGCTGAGCCCCTTGCAGGATTGAGCCCCGAAGATAGCTGTGTACAGCAAGAGACAATATTTAGCTGAGCACTCTTCCTTAGAGCAGTAGGACAAAAGCTTTGTGAAACCAGATCTGAACTTTCCTTCTCTCATTAGAGTTCGAGGAAGCTCAGATACAAACTCTCTGAATAGATACAGGGTATAGTCTGTTTGTGTGCGTGTTTAAAAACAGTGAAATCCTCTTTCTTGCAAAATACACAATCCATTACGTGAAGTACTGAAATACAAACCCAAAGGCTCTCCAAATGAAGGAATATATCTTAGCAACAAGGGTGGGAGTGGTGGGAAAGGAAAAGGAGAATACAAGTATCTGGCAATTAACTTCCTAGTCACAGATGTGAAGGTGATAAAAGTGATAAAAGCATTACTGCATTGCCAGCACTCTTCCTTGTTCTCTGAGCTGTGTATCATGCTGGAGCAAAAGCTGCACAGCCCGTGCCAGAGAGTGGTGGAGGAGTCCTGTGAGCTGCTCACAGCAGGCAAACCCAGTGGTTCCCCAGTCTCTGTTGCATGCGGAGGGACGCACGGAGCACACAGCCTGGGCCAAGGCAGCAGAGCTGTGGTAGCCTCAGCTTTGTCAGAGGCTCACTGCAGGCTCCAGGCTGGTCCCCACACCACCAGAGCCGCGCTGAGATGGCTGAGGTCTGTCATGGCAGCCTGTAGTGGTGGAGAGCCACAGGCTCGTCTTGCCCTGGTCAGGAGGACTCCAGTTACGCACTGGGTTCCATGGAGCCAAAAGCTCTTTTGCCTCATAACACAGATGCAATCAAACCATGCAGGCTGTCTGTGGGACTGAGAGCGTGTACACAGTATGGAGACAGGAGGAAAGCATCCTGCTGTAACTAAGATGAGGGAATACGACTGTAAATCTCCCTCCCACACAGTGACATGGATGTGGTTTTATGGGCTTCGAAGGGACTTGCTCTTTTGCATTAAGCCAGTTTAAATGGCAAGCTGACAGTCTGGCCTTGATGTCACTGTAATGGTTGGTTCACCAGCTTTCAGCTGGTGTTTGCTGAGTGCAGGGAACTATCTTCATCTCCATTCCCCCCACATCCATACCTAGTCTTGACCATTTGAATTTTTTCACTAAGTAGCACTTGCATTGAGAAAGGGTTCACTGTTAATCCTGTTTTTTGCTGGGCCAGTTCTTGCCTGTGTTACTGTGATGTGCATTGGAGCAAATCTGTGTAATGTCTGTGTGTATAGGTGTGTATCTAAAGAAACAATGTGAAAAAGTGTGTGAACAAGGATAGAACTTTTAACCAAAACAGCCTTTGAACTTCACCTCCTCATCAGAAGATGTAATGCCATTGAAATCTAAATTATATCTGGAAAAACTGACTTTAGGATGTAACTTAAAGTGGGATCTGGTCTGTGACTGTTCTTTGTAGCACTTATGCACATGCTGATGGCTACCATGAGAATTGATTCAGATCCTCCACAATCAGTAGTGTTACAATTAGGCTTTGTGCATAAATGCTTGCAGGGTCAGAGTGTCTGCTTGTTTGTGATCCCAAGTGGGATACTTCTGTGTCACCCATTTGTCACGTAACGGTAACACTCTGAGTTAAAGTTGTGCTCTTCTCCCCGCAGTGCAGTGCATGTTCAGCAGAGCCTGCTCTAGCCTGGGAACTGGCAAAGTCAAGACAATCAAGATGACAAACGAACCTATTAAAGAGATCCTGAGCGCTCCAAAGCATCCTGATTCTGTAACCACGGAGAAGAGTAATAACAATGACTGTGTGATAACCACCATCCCTCTTGTCAGTGAATGCCAGCTGACTGCAGCAACAGGGGGAGCAGAACTCTCCTGTTACCGCTGTACCGTTCCCTTCGGTGTGGTTATCCTCATAGCTGGCATTGTGGTCACTGCTGTGGCATACAGCTTCAATTCCCATGGATCGATCATCTCAGTGTTTGGGTTAGTCCTCTTGTCATCAGGACTCCTTTTGCTGGCTTCTAGTGCAGTATGCTGGAAAATCAGGCAGCAAAACAAGAAAGCGAAGAGGCGGGAGAGCCAGACAGCGCTTGTGGCAAATCAGCGAACCTTGTTTGGTTAAAGATGACCAAGAGAAGGCTGGACAGAAGACAGAACCTTTGTAAGTCAACTTGACTATTTATCAGTAGGAGAGACTGCAGGTTTTAATTTAACTTTGGAAATGAACTGAAATGAGAACGGAGTGGATTAAGAAATACTCTTAAAAACTCTGCAAGTGCTCTTAATATTTTTTTCTTTACTGCAGACTTGGTAGAGATTCTTTCCAAGACAGAGGAAAAAAACACTTTTCCCTCACAGAAAACAGTGTCGTCATAACCGCAATCATCGTAACTGCGTTCTCCGACCTGCTGACCATGTTGGAAAGGGAACTTGTGAGAACTAAGAAAATAATTTGAACTGACTTGAAATGCAGAGATCTCCTTAAAATACACACTGTGACATTTGACCAAGGGAGAAGTCATAGCATTTGAAGTGACTGCAAGCTTATGGCCAGATTGTCTGTGACTTAACTGGTAGCTCAAAAAAAAAAAAAAAAAAAAAGAGGCAATAACAACAAAAACACACTTCAGATTGCTCAATAAGCTGATTCGTATATTTTATGTAACTTTCCCCTTCCAATACTTGTGGTACTTTCCCCCTTTTTTAAACCAACTAATATTAATTTTGTTTTACTATTGAATAGAAATAGGTAGAAATGTGTAATTATATTGTCTAACCTAAATAACGGGGTATGATTATAGCTTAAAACATGGGACTTTTTTTTTGTAAATTAAAGTGGTCAGGTTTAGCACTTTTGATTATTTTGCTATAAAATTAAAAAGTAAATTTCATTAAAATAATATTCAGTGCTGCTAGACCTTTAGAAAAATCTTTTTTATAGCTGTATCTTCAACTTTGACTGCTTTATGATTCTATTTTTGTAAAACAACACCTGTGACCATAACTGTGAACATATGTACTGCTGATCTCTTCCAAAATCTCTGTAGACTCTGGATTTGGGTTTGATAGCCTCTCTCTCTTGCAGGTTGATTAACAACTCCGTTATTGAAAAATCATAATGGTCAGTTCTGCAGACACTTACTGGCATAGTCCATTTTAGACAAAAACTATTAATAATTACTGTGGAAGTAAAGCCATCTGTGTGTAGTAAGTATTTGCTGAATGAGCTTTGGGAATATGAATCTTTCTGAAAAGCAGGTCTCGGATGTCCCACGTGTATGTCTGAGATGTTTGATTCCGTAACTCTTGTGTTCCAGAGGTCTTCCAAGTTTTCTCAGGCAATCAATAATCGAGGGGCTGGTCCCAAATTGAAGCAAAACAGAATATTTCTTCATCTAATATTGTGGAGGACAAGCAGCGCTGAGCCAAGTCACAGACTTCCACCCCAGCGTTTAGGAGCATGTCAGAAGGCAGAAGGGCTGCATTGAGCCCTCTTTTTTTTTTTTTTTTTTTTTTTCCCCTCCCCATTCCCTTTCCTTCTCCAAACTCAAAAGGGCAGGATATGATTTTTGTTTTCCACTGCTACAGCGAGCGAGGCCTGGGCTAGCGTGCCTCCTTCTTGCCCTCCAGAGCCTCTGGTATCCGTGGTGGCTGTGGCGATGCCACTGCAGAACACACCTGCCAAACAGGTGCTGCAGAGGGTTGCCTTCTGCAGGTCATCCCGGAGCCGTATGCTTCTCCCGCTGAAATCACCCAGGCATTCTGGCTTAGGTGCCGCCTTTTCCTCTGCCCTCCGTGGTTTAAGCTTGTTACATCCATAACTTATCCCCGGATTTGCAAAGTGCACTTCGTGTTTTAAATAGAGCACGCTGTACGTCTGGGAGGGGATGTTTGGAGTCAGTATTTGCGTTGCCACACTCCGTGGTTACCAGACGCTATAATAAAATCACTTGCATCAGAGGAAAGCTGACAACACATTTTAGCACTTCCATAGCCCTAACTTAATCACGGCAGGAAGCTTTCCTGCTGCTAGGAGAACATGTTGCGTCACCAGAACATCTGACACCGGTGTCTAATGTCAATCACTTTGCTTAAGGTCATTAAAAATATTAGGGTGTCCCCTTACGATGTACAGGTTTTGCGCGAGTGACAATTCATGGGAAATGCATAGCATGATAAATAATGGAACAGGTGGACTAAAGTGGTGCCTTTCCTGTTTAAAATGAGAAAAGTGATTGACATTAGCAAAGCTCAATAAGCTAAATAGGGCTGCTTATTTTTTTTTCCCCGGGAACACAATAGTTTTTTTCTGACTCCGTCTTTCCCCTCCCCATTTCTTTTTCCTCAGTGGAATTCTGCAGGCTGCCGAGGAGAGAATTGCAGGGGCTGTAGAGATGCAGTGATTTCCACTACACACGTGTAGCAGCTCAGCCCCATGATTCCCAGGCTGAGCCCAGAGCAGAAGCAGCCTGTTGCCCTCTCCCAAAGCCTTTCCCACACATGGAAAGGGTCCTGCCCTGGCCGTTGCTGTGACACAGGCGAGCTTGCGTGCGACGTGCGGCAGGGGAGCAGAGGTGCAAGGTGAGGCTCTGCTCCAAGGCAAGAGAAAAGGCCAAACTCAGTGGAACAGAGGCAATGGGTTTTGGGGAGCAGGTTTTCAGGAAGGGTAAATAAGAGTGAGTAGGAGTCGCTCTGCTACTACTAGAGGCAATTTCCTTTCCCTTATCTCTGCTCTCTTTTATATTTGCGCTGCGTATACAAGGACGCAGCAGAGTGCCTGCACCACCCTCTGCCTTGCTAATTGTGTGGCATCTAGGCACTAAGCAGCATGTAAGCAGTGACAGACAGCATAGGCATGATCTCTTAGCATAGCAACGCTTCCAATACAATGTGGAGTCCCATAATACCAGCTAACTAATAGGTTGAGAAGCCTCTAGGAGATACAGGGCTGCCATAGCACACACTGCTCATCTCAGTAGCATTGGCTGTATCTCAGTGAGACGAGGTACATGCATAAGCATTTCTCATCAAGCAGTAAGTGAAAGTTTGCACAGGAATTCACTCTTTTTTGCCCTTTATTCAGAGAGGCAAAATAGTAACTTTATGGGAAAGAATCCCAGCCCCTGGTCCTGGTGACCTGCAGGATCAAGGCAGAGGTTGTGAACAGTTCAGTCAGAGATGTCTTGCTGTTGAAGATGTTTTTACATGTTTCATCACTAAATTGCCACATGGCATTGGAAACTGGCAGAGACTTCTCCGCCGTGATTTATGTGCATTGATTTTGGGGCAATGTGAAGCAGTAGTAGCATCTTTTCTGAATGACCAATGACGACATCTAACACTAGTCTCACAGTCTATATTTTTTCCTCCTGCAAATCTACATATTACAGACATTTTCATTACTATCCTCTCTCTCCCTGCATCCCTTGTCCTCCTTTCAACACAGAAACAATACATACTACCTTTAAAACAATACAAATACTACCCTGAAAAAAACAATCGTTCTGGGGGAGGTGCTATGTGAGTAGTGTGGCAGGCTTAGCACCTTCAATTTTCCAGAAACTGGTGATATTATTAGATCTGAAATGTTTTTTACAAGGGCACATTTACAATACTTTTACCAACCCCCTCAAGCTGCTCAGCTACAAACAGCAAAATCTGCTGCAGCTTTTGAACCCCGTGACCTAATCTGGATTGATTTGGGGTTTCATGCCTGGATGCTGGGTCATGCAACCCACCAAGTTTTTGATAAAAAGCCATTTGGAACTCCACAATTGCTGTTTGGTGTTTCTCATGGGAACCTGAGAGGCAAAAGTCAGCCTGGAGGATGCAACCCTGTGGAAATCACAATGACTTTCCAGTTCAGAAACATCTTCCCTTCTGGTGTGAAAAGGCTTTGAATGCGACAAATGGTATTTCGGTTCTGGGAGAGGCTGGGTGGGAGCTGATGCAAATTTTATTGTCACAATTGCTTGTCTCTCCCTTCCTGAAAGCTCTGGAAGCATTGCGCAAGCAAAATTGCCCTCACAAGGATAGAAAATTATCTAATAGGGGAATTGAGCTGGTGCACCGGGCAAATGTTACGGGGATCTTAAATAATAATTTCAAAACCTAAGCACAGGAAATCGTGTCTGTAACTACACCCTGTATTGCTATTGTACACAAAGCCAGTTATGGCCTGGGACAGTATTTTAAAATAATAATCATTTTGGTGTGACAATGCTTAGTATTTGTTCAAGTCAAAACGCCCAATTTGCGATTCCCCAGTCAGTTAACATGTCATGTTTTGTACGTGACTGTGGTTCTAATACCATAATTCACCTTTTTTTTTAAAAAAAAAAAAAGAAGAGAGAGCAAGGTTGGTTTCGTGGACTAGTGTCAAGAGTTAAGTTTCTCTGCCTCGGACACTGGGGAGAGCTCCTGTTACCAAACAACGAATGTAAGATACTACTGCAGCTCTATGGAATAGAGGATATGGAGCAAAGGAAGGCCTGAAAGTCTCATGAGGATCTGCAAGGATCAAGCCAGGAATAAGCCCTCTGAAATATCCCATACTTTTGCCTCAGCTTTGCTTATTCAGAGTCAAAGTCCAGGGCTACTATTCCTTTAATATATGAGATGATGGTTGTTGGATATTATTAGCAGGTTTCACCTAATTTCTTTTTTACAATAGGCACCAAAATAAGAACAATATTGGCAGCCATCATTTTGCATATGTATTTCCAATACCTCTGATGCCTTTAGATTGCAGGACATTTTAGCTTTATCAGTGTTAATCTTTGTCAATTACAAAGGGCTTTTATACATAAAAGCACATTAACATATCAAGAATTGCACTGTATGATGTGAAAGATGATAAAAATCCTGGCAAAACTCTATGTGTAGACTAAATCTTACAGGCTAAACCCTATGGGAGAACAATGGTCTTAAACTGCAGAATCAACTTGAATTTTTGGCTTTTATTCAGGTTGTTGATGTCACTATTAACATGACAGAGGATCTAATCCTTCCTCTTGTGAGCAGCCAGTTGGAGTCCTATTGTCCTAACTAGTGCATCCAAAAATTTGCATTTGTGGCAAACATGGCATTTTTGAAAAACAATTTTTTTGATTCTTAACTCTTCTGTGCTTTCTAGAGAAAGAGAAAAAAAGTATTAAACTTTAAAAACAGAGGAAAAAAAGAGGAAAGAAAGAGAAGAACACACAACAGCAAATGGTGGACACTGCATAAAGTCATAGAGGGATAGTAGAGCTTTACACAAGTGCCTTGTTGAAAGACAGATACTTTTAAAAATATGTAAGTTGTGTTTCTGATACATCCTTGGCTGTATTTTCAGTTTCATCCTTAGAAAATGCCTGAAGTCCCCAGGTTAACATCAGTCTTGGATCTCACCTCATACTTCTGTTCCTTTTCTGTTTCCCAGGAACCAGTTAGCTCAGCAAAAGGCAGAAGTTTTTCTTACCATCTTTTGCAGTCTGACTGAAATTAAACTGGTCGTTTGGGATTTGCAGAGGCAGTGCCCCCCTGGTTTTGTAAGTTATGAGGCATTCAGCCACCGTCTACTCTTGAAGAGG